CAGATAAACGCCAGAAGTTAGACTATGTGGTGCCCCCTCAGTAGGTGATACCCCTATACATACATTCACACAAGTCCGTCCTGGTCACCAAGTCACAGTGTTTAAATACAGGAGGTCACCATTACACATTGTGCAGACTCGTGTAATGTGCTCTGCTGATTCTTCAAGGTTTATGTTTTACACTCTGTGACATGTGATATAAAACAGTAATGGCTGCCATGGGAATAACAACAATAAGCTTAAATACGTGAACCTTACAAGCAGCCTTTTAGTAGAGTACTTTGTGTTGCTGTGGTGCAGGAATCTGTGAGTGGGTTTTTTTGTTGTTGTTGGGTTTTTTTTTACGAAATGTGTGTTTTTTTTATCCATGTTGTGTATCACGGAGAGATAGTTAAGTGCAGGCCTTGGGCACAATGTGTTTCTCTGATGGCTAATACAGTAATACATCCCACACACTGGAGCGTTTGATAAGAGAGCAATGGAGCGCTTTAGACAGGGATTGTTGTTTCAATTTCACTTAAATTGCATGTGATTCAGTAGCAATTTCTCACCACTTGAGTGTCACTTAGATAATAGCATTATATCTGCAGATTTGGGGTGTTTTGCTACCAGGCGATGGAGTGAGAAATGGACAGAAACAGATAGAGCTAAGTAGGAGTGAAGGTCTGCTGTAGTGTGCCTGTGTATGCCAGCGAATTCCCACCCACTCATTTTTACATCTAAAAAGCAATTCTACAGTATGAAGCCCGGGCTATTGATTTAACAGTATAAATGTTTGATAATTCATATAAATATTTCACATCTCCAGCAGGAAGCAGCACTGGCTCGCTGACAAGGAAATTGAGCTGCTTGTTACATAAAGATGGACTCTAATGGATGAAGGTGAATGAACGTGAAAGTGAAAGTTCTCTAAGGTTTTTGTGCGCGCAACAGAAGATGTGGATGAGGTGAACTTGGAACAGACCGTAAGTGTGAGTGGATGGGTTGACTCACCGCTAACGCAACCTCCATATGGGAGGTTTGAACACTTTCTGTAGACAGATGGAGAATCATGTGGTCCCTCCTGCAGTTCATGGATATATGGATGAAAACAATATTTGCTTGTTTGGCGTTTGTCATTCTGAACTTCCAGTCTGAACTGAAAGCTTCCATCTAAAAGTGTAACAAACTTTAATAGCCTGGACACCTGGAAAATTAATAGTTTTGTGTTTTATTTAAAGCCAGCACTATCTGCACATGGTAACTACGGTGTGCTTATGGTTTGGTAAAGATTGTGGTTACGGTTAATAAAGGTTAAAAGATGTGTGCCAACCACAGCCATCCACCGCCCCAACCTCCACACGTCACACTTCCTTCGGATACTTTGCCACTTCTCTGACATTAGGTTAAATTAATGTCAGAACCACTGAGGGAATACAACAGGTTTGAGCAGTAATTAGTCAGATTTGACAGTGTTTATTTCACAGATTTGTACGTGCAGAGTAGGTTCTTATGAGGGAGCGATAACAGAATCATGGCTGTCATCAGCATCTTGAGTAAGCAAGAAGAGTGGTGTAGCTGTCTTTGAGAGAGCAACATGGCTCCCGTTGGTTGCATACATTTTGGCAGATTTTGTATCTCTTGCATGCAAACTCTGACCAAGACCAGAGTGAACTTGGAAGTGAAGCATCATCCCCTCAACCTCGAGAGGGCTGCTTCCCAGTGTGTTCCATCATATTTTTCATTTACCTAAGGCTCAAATAAGGCTGTATGCTTTTGAAACCTGCTGGTGAGAGCCTCTCACCGCCTCAAGCACTTAAAATCTTACAAAACAACCAAACAAAATCCTGAAAGCATATTGCAAAGGGAGCACCCACAAAATCAGGCTCCTGCTCTGTGAAAATTTTCTGCTTTCATATTTTGATCTTGTACACTGTGTAATCTTGACTTGCAGAGGGATAACAGCTTGGGTTTATTTGGTGCTCACTCAATAGTTTGGTGTCCTGTGTCCACACATACTGTCCAGCATTTGCTGCCCTTTAATTTATTTACTTTTGGGGGCTTCCTGGTGGAGGGGAGCCATGATAGGACTGTCAAAAAAGTAGAAATTGCTCCTGCAAATTACTTATTAGAAAAAATATAACATCTTTTTCTAATCAATAACCCAACTTATTAACACCTCTATTTAGCCATTTATTCAAATTTCTGGCATTCTGGCTTTTTTTTGTCTGCCTCAGTTCATAGACACAGGTGGATGGAAGCGCACTTATTGTTGCAATATGCAGTTTAACACCTCTGGTTGGCCTGCGGTGTGAAGAACAGGTGTGTTTGATGCGGATAGTAGCTGCTGCTCTCTGCTTGTTCAGGGATGTACTGAGGAGGAAAGGTGTGAGAGTTGTCTCTGAGAGATTATTAACACCAGTTTTGCATCTGCCTTCAGAGAAACTCTCTAATCCATCTCCATCTTCTCCTTCCTACTTTTCACCCCCATTCTTTAACCAATCAGGTTTCTGTTGCCTGCAGCAAATCCCGCCTCCCACCCCTCTCATGTCGCCTGTGTGTCATTTGTCATGCAGCACCGCAACTCATTGTTTATTGAAAAGGCAGTTGGTTATCGACCACGAATATCAATGAAAAACATCGCCAGAGTAAACTCTGATAACACTACAGCTCACATCAAGTGAGCTTTTGACACACACTCACACACACATGTTCACACACAAGGAGAGAGGAAGGGATTGCTTCAGTTCACATGCATCTGTGTGTGTGTGTGTGTGTGTGTGTGTGTGTGTGTGTGTGTGTGTGTGTTGTACTTCACAGCATGTCCAGCTTTGAGGAAAGGCTGGTGTCATTCTCCGTTTGTCCCTCTCCTCCCTCCATCTGCCATCATTGTGTATTCCGACTAATTTCTCTCCCCACCTATACAGCATCATCCCCCATCCTCCCTCCCCTTCTTCCCTACCTCATCCTTCTCTCCGACCTCCCTGTCTCCATCCTCTCTCCCTTCCTCATCTCTCCTTTGTTTTAATTTCCCTCTCTCCTTTCCTGTCTAATTCTCCTCCCTCTCCTCCCTGTGTGTTTGTGATCATACATAATCGGCACTTGCTCCCTCTTCTGTCTGTGACCACTGTGGCAGACGTGGTAACTAAACTCACACACTCTCTCTCACAAACACACATACACACGCACACACAGTTGTCAGTCCTATCCCAGTGGACCCACACATGAATATGCAAAGCCGGCCTTACTGAGCATCCCTGAGCAATTCTGCATGTTCACCTCATCTATCTATCTATCTATCTATCTATCTATCTATCTATCTATCTATCTATCTATCTATCTATCTATCTATCTATCTATCTATCTATCTATCTATGATTTTCTCTCCTTGTAGACAGTGTAAGCTTGGGAAAGAACGCCACCTGCTGGCAAGAAGAAGTAAATGCAGCCTATCTTAATGTGATCTGAGACACAATCTGACACTTAAAGTCAAACAGCAATTATCCTACTTATTTTCTCTGTAGTACCTGGCTATGCACGTAGTTTTATGTATTTATATATCGGCATTTGAATTTCATTTTTGAAGCTCAAAGAATCAAAATTACACTTGAAACACTGAAAAGCCAATTAGTGTCTCACTTACAATCCACAGTCCTCACTGTTTCTGTGGCAGATTGATTTGGGGCAATCGTGAGCTTCAGTGGCTTTGTTTTTCCGTCATTTTTTGTATGCAGATGTTTCTTCTTCCGGCCCCTCCAGGCTAGTGGTTCTTTGGCCTGAGAATAAAGGCAGTAAATGATGAGGATGATATCACTTTTGGCAGATGAAAAAAAAAACTTTCTTTGTAACAGTGAAGAAAAAGAAAGTGTTCCTGATTAATGCAAATGTGTTTTTAAATGAAGACAACTGCAGCTTGATGAGTTTCCAGAGCTGTAATTTAAAGGGAGACTCAATTTACTGTATGTACAGCGATAACAGTACAGTCTTTTTATTGCAGCGGCAGCAAATTGGTTTCATTTTTTGGTAAATACTCATACAAATCAGCTAGTAAAGCTAAATTGGTGGAAAATCGTAGAGGTAATTATCCCTTTATCATCTCTGTATCAAACGCTGTGTGTGGAGTGCTTTTACTTCAGTGGTAGTGATGAAATACAATTCCATAAACAAAAAAGGGGACCAAACAACCTGTGAAAATCATTCAACCGTCACTTTGTTGTTTCCTCCAAAATCCCTGTTATAGTTGATGATTGTGCAGAACCATCCGTGGTGGTTGTTGTGTGCTGTGTGCAGCTGCTGTCAGTGTGTTGTTTCTCTTTTTTCCTCTTTTTTTCCTTTAAATAAAAGCACTACTGTAATGAGAGGCTTTTACAGTCAATTTAGATGCCTCAGCGCCCTCCGGAAATCATAAACAGGCTCTTAATTGAAAGGAGATGTCGAGGTCAGCGTGAGACTCAGCTGATGTGAAGCTGCATCACAAAGATTTATGGCATTCATGAGTGTGAGTGTACAGCCGAGAGCTTTGAGCTGCTTTCATTTTACAAGAACTCATACTAAATTCTTTATGCGTATGTGACTATGCCTCAATGTTACACAATAACAACACATACACCGCTGACATTGAACAGAAACTTGACTTTTGATTACCTGCTTCTACATTATACTCCTCTGGGGATTTCTTGTGAGGATTTATTTTGCACATATCCCTTTAAATTATTAATACTCCATATCCCATTAAAACCAAACTGTCTTTTTTTGTGTGTGTGTGTGTGTGTGTGTGTGTGTGTGTGTGTTTTACATGTTGTGCTCAGCTACAGTTAATAATGAAATACTGCTGACTAACGCAGCCACAGACTATTTTCTCTCACACAGATTTTAGAAGCAAAACATATAAAAAATACAAATATTGCAAGTGAGCAACATTAAAGTGCTAGCAGCAGTCACATGATATTTAAATGAATTGGTAATAAAATTCTATCTCTTCTCTCTCTGTTTTCTCTTCTGTGTGTCTTTCACCCGTTAAGAAGAGAAGAGACAAATCACTCCAGGCCCATCGACAGGTGCCGTTATCGGCGGCATCCTTGGCACCCTCGTCGTCATCGGCATCATCATTGGCATCATCTTATTTATCCGCAAGCGCCAGGAAGACGGAGAGTAAGTCTTCATTACCATCTACTTCAGTGTTTATTTAACCTGCTGAGCAAAATTTATCTCCCCCTCTGGCACTAAGGCTCATTAAAACTCATTACATGTCACAAGGGGATCCAGCAGAGGTACCTCGGTCACAAATCCTGACCTGAAGTTTTTGGCGTGAAGCCGCCCGGAGATTTTACTCCCAAAATGCTCGGTGCTCTGCACCCCCTACATTCAACCCTCCAGCTACATAGGAATTTATTAAACCTTCCCTTTGATTCCAGCTGAAGAGGGGATTTTGGTAACAGAGATTTCTTGTGGAACAACAAGCGTATAAATAAACAAATAGTGTTTCTTGCCTATAGTGTCGGGAGGTTAATTAGATTCGTACTTATTGTATGTTGCTGCTGCTCTAATGTGCAGCACTTATTGTGATACAACAGCGAATTAACATGGACCTCATGACAATTACAAGAGATGATGATTGCAAAGTTCATGGTCAAAGCATATACAGTATGTACTATATAAATGGCCAATGAATGATTCGTAAGTAAGTCTCATAATATGTCATAAAATGATCCCTGACCTGTGTTTTATTTGATGAGCATCACTACATCTGGTTCCCCGTGTGTCAACTGTTCTAGTTTCCATTTGAAGATACAGCATGCTGTGTGAGCTACAGTGAGAGAAACAGAGCTGGTCCTGTCCTCCCTGGGACCCTAAGCAATATTCTGCTAGGGGGCCCTCCAACCTGACCTGTAAACCATGTAAACTATTTGCCACACAGTCACACCTGACATCCCAGTGCTCCCACTACAATTCTTCATCCTAAAAAATTCTGTTTGCTTCATTAGTCAGTCTAAGAATTAGTAGATCTATGCAGAACAGAATGAGGTATAAACAAACATTTATTCAATAGAATATTTTCCGTAGAGTATTAAGGGAATATAAAATACAAATGTGGAAAATAATAAAAATTAAAAACTTGTGCATGGAGAGCCATCACGCCCATATATCGCTGCTGGAAGACACGAGTTGCATTTCGTTGACGCACAAGTGAACGCAGCACAGTGCAGTTATTTTTTACACTGCCTGTTGACGTTTATTAGACATAATAAATAGTTGTATTACACGCTCACTTTTGTTAGGAACAAAGTCACAGAACAGCTGGAAGACACAGACAGATAGAGAGCTGCACTGTCCAGCTGTTAGTGAGAGACAGAGTGGAGAGAGATTCACTGCAAGCTGCACATCAGCTGCACATATCTGTTATTTACTGACATCAAAGTTGAAGAAACACTAGTACATCTGATTCCTGTTCCCGCAGTTCACTCTCATGGTGTTTTTTCCCCTCTTTTTCTGACGGATAGCCCATTCATCCTCTCATAAAAGTTGTAAACATTGACACCGGCTTTGATGTGAGTGGTAGTTCGGGGCCCTACATAGCGTAGATAGTGTGCATATAGTGTGGACCGGGTCTAGAGAGAAATAGGACAGAGGAGAAAGTCATTGTAATGTAAGAATCTGTCACTAGGAGATTTACGATTCAAACCCATGAGCACTAAAATTTGAGGTGTACATTAAACTCAAATTGACAGATGCTAAATGCTAATTTTAAAGGTCCATTGTGTAGGATTTAGTGGCATCTAGCAGTGTAGTTGCAGACTGCAACTCACTCGCTTCACCCCCCTTTCCAAGTACAAAGGAGAAACTACGGTGGCTGCAAAATGCATGAAAAATGCAAACAGCCCTATCTAGACCCAGTGTTTGCATTGTCCATTCTGGGGTTCTGTGGAAACTTAATGGTTCAACATGGAGGACCTGACGGAAGGCGAACCGCAGCATCTGTAGATAAAACTGTCTCATTCTAAAGTAAATAAAACAAAACGATTCTTATTTTCAGGTGATTATACACTAATGAAAACATACCTATGAATATTCTATTTCTGCCAATAGATCCTCCTAAATGTTATCCACTGGACCTTTAAAATGTAAATCTCAGTAAGGAAACTATTATTATTAAACACCTGCTTATTTGTTTAAAATGGATTTAATGGGACAAATTTCCAGACTTATCCATTAACTTCAAAAGTGTCACTGAGAATTTTCTTGGAACTCTGCAGCTCTACAGAGCTTTTAGCCTCTTTTAGCTTATTAGACCTCAGATGTAGGAGACTGTATAGTAGGTTTTGTCTGAAATGCTCTTACACCCCTCTGCAGGAAGCTGATTCCAGCATATAAGCTACAAGATGAAAAAAAAACCCAACACCTGTATGTTGCCTTTATCACACCTTTTAAAACAGGGAGAGAAAAGAACCGCACATTTTGATTAGAGTCCTTACATTTGTCAGGTAGACATATATGAATATAGGTGTGTTGTGTCTGTTGAATGTGTTAAATAGGCAGTTTTCCAATAATAATATATTATTAGTATAATAATAAAGTGTTGAACCTGCAATATGTGGTGTATTGTGTGCAACTGTATCTGTCAGCTTCTTATGATGCTTTTCTCTCCACAGTGAGCAAAGTATTAACAAGGCTTTTACAGATCCCAGAGCTGATGTGAAGTGTGATATACCACGTTTCATACAAGGTCTGCAGCTCAACTAGAACCGTTTCAACGATTGTTGAGGGGACGGAAAAGTGTTTTCATTCTTTATGCTCAATAGAGATTTCTCCGCCAGTACAAATACAAAACACGACTTCCAGTGCAAAAACCTTTAAACCACCCAAAACTCACCACTTTTATTGAAAATGTTTCTCTTTTTTCAAAGGAAATTGCTGAATTTTGAATGAAGAAATTTATTGATAGATTCTGGATGGGGTTTCCACACAATGGGATGTCTTTAGAGCTCAACATTTCAAGACTTTCTATGTCTGCTCACTCTCAGTTGGACAACTCTGACGTCTTAACGAAGCAGAAATCAATACCACATTATCTCTGTCTTTTCTCCAATCAGGGGCCCCCCAAAGCACAAACCCCCTCCCCCTGTGAAGGCAGGCAGCTCAACAGAAATGGTGAGTGGTCCACATGGCTTCAAATCAATCTTTATTGTCACTGCGATTATATTCTACACACAGGCAAATACACACACACAGTCCATTTGGGTAGTCATAATGGGGCTAATGGCTATTGATTGGAGATCTGAGTTGGCTTATGTGTCGAAATAATTAGCTTGGTTAGTAAAGAGCTCCATTAGAGCGCTTCCCTCCTCCTCCTCCTCCTCCTCCTCCTCCTCCTCCTTCCCTCTCCACTGATTTTATTCCATCATTCTATCACATTTTGTTGTGCTTGTACCATATTATGTAATGAGACTAAAGCTCTGCAATTTTATGTTGATTAGACGTATAAAAGATGTGTAAATGCCCAGTGAAATGGGGTTCACAGGGTTCAGCAGTGAAAGTTTATTAGATGGTGCCTAGAAAGCACCATCTGGGGCCTGTGATGAAAATAAAGCCAAACCTCTAGTCTTTGAGGGCAAGTTTTCATCAAGTCACAAGTTTTTATAAAGCTGAGAACAAGTCCCTTGAATTCAATGTAACCCAGATATTATGTTTATATATTACTAAGTTATGTAGATATCTCTATTATTAGTGTTGTTTCATGTGGACTTCAACTGCAAATTAGTTTATTTCAAAGAGAAATGCTTAGGCTTATAAATGAAAACACTTGAATGTTTTTGCCCTTAAGTCTAAAGTCAAATCAAATCCATGGACCGTCAATTCTCAAATTTGTAGAGTTTTAAAGTCCATGGGTGGGAGGTAGCTAAGTCCATATACTGTTGTTATTGTACAACCTTTTACTTCTACTCCCTACATCTTTACACAAATATCTGCAGTTTGTAGTTGTTTCAAAACAGACTCATTAACTTGTAATGCACTTGAGGGGAATTTACGATTTCTTTTCCTTCGCATTATTGCACGCCAATCTTCAAGACCAGTATCAAGCACAGTAGACATTACAAGACAAAACGAGAGGGGGACTCAGCCCTGTTTTAAGTTTCAGTTAGCTTTGCACAAAAGCAGCCTGAAATGTCCTTCACAGAAACAAAGAAAGCATTTTTACTTTTATACTTTGAGTACATTTAAGTGGCTGTACTTGAGTAAAGAATGTGTGAACTTTTGCCACCCGTGTCCAAGTCCAAAGTACAGCTCTGTTATCCTCTTAAAGTTCCTGAAGGTAATGGTTATAAAAATCCTTATTATTACAAATTGGGTTGTATTTTCATATGTTATTGTTGTTATAATAACAAGTTACTCACCAAAGCAAGAAACATTGCTAAAGATACGAAAAATGAGCAACAAGTTAGCTACGAAGGTAAGCTACCTCTTTATTTGAAGGAAACTGGAGCTGTAAATTGTGATGGACAGTTTGGGCCATTTTTAACGCTGTAGTGACGATGGTGTACTGGAAATGTCTCATATTGTTTATGAATTCAGCTGCATATTTGTAAGCGAAAGTGTTATTTTTTCTTTAAAAGGCTTCATAGTTTCTCTGTATGACTCAAGTCTACAGCTCTGTTATCATTAACAGAACTTGTTTTTATGCATTGTTGCACTGTATTATATTGCCTTGTTTTCTGTTTTGTTCTCTTCCCTGTGTTGATGTGGTTTCTGTGCATGTAGCTGAACAAGCCATCAGAGCCTCCCACGGCCACAGAGACAGCACCTCTCAGCCCGGGAGAGGTTTACTACGAGCCCACAGGGGGAGAGCCTGTCACGGTAACTAACACACGCAACCAAAAAAACGTGTTTTTGCTCATGAGCCACTTTCAGGCACAGTGGGCTTCAGATATGTTTGGATAGCTGCACACTGTGTTGTAGGGACGTCACGGTGTTTCCACTTTGTACCAATCAATCAAATGACATTAATAGTTTGCTGTATATAATTACTATAACTGTCTAAAATTGTATTGTGTAAGTTTTACTTAAATGTTAAAGTCTTTAGTCCTTGATATCCCAGAGTTTTCATAATCATGTAAGTCTTCATGTAGTTTCATATTTCGTATTCTGCATAAACATGTCTGACATCCGTTGAATCTTGCAGAACCTGGATGATGAGACCACTGGAGCCCTGAACGGTGGAGCCCCCCCAGTCCTGGACGACTCGGCCAAATACAGCAACATCAACGAACTCAAAGACCACCCTGCCGACGGTCACCACAGCAACGATTTGGATTCATCCAATCGTGAGCCACCAGCTGCCAACATCTCTCGCGGCGAGAGCTTTGTGTCTCCCGCCATGTATGTGTAGCCATGGCAGCCATATTATCACATCACGGGCGTATGGGCAAGTTCCAGGTCACCTTAATTTGCATGGAAAGCAAAGCCGAGCACACTAGAAATCCAATATGAAACTTTAAAGTTTTTAAGTTTTAACCTATATACAGTGGCGTTTTGCATTTCAGTTTATTTTCTTCTTAAGGCACATTTGGGGATGTTAAGGGTTACATGTTTTGCCACTTGTGACTACAAAGGAACAGGGATGTTACAAAGGGTAACAAACTTTTCTTCCTTTTCTTTTTTAAAAATCATTATATTTCAAATATCCGCTAAAGAAAAGCTCATTTTAAGTACAAAATATCAAAGTTTCCAAAGCAGTTTAAGATACACAAACAGTAGTTCATCTATCTTACAGGCCAGATAGCCATTGAAATCATATGTGTAGCGCATATGATGAGGCGGGCTTTTACAATATGTTAATTACATGGTCGAGAGGTGTTGCAATGTAGGTGAACTGGAACACTCCCTTCAGCTAATTAACACACAGCACTCTGCCTGTGTGACGCTTGCAAATCTAAATTTCCACCAAAAAAATCGCAAGACAACAGCATTTCCAGTGGATTCAGTGAAATATTATATGCAACATTTTGTGCCATGAACATACAATGTCCCCATTGCAAAATTATTGTTATATGTGAAGCTGCCAGTCTCTTCTGTTTACAGCCGTGGAAAGTGATTTGAACATCTTTTGCCCTCTAAGTAAGGATGAAACATCAGGCCTTGTACTAAAGAAAAGAAAGTGAAATTACTATCTTTGAAATCCTTTCAGAGTGCTCTTCTTCCACGGTTGGTTGGGTTTGAATTACATACAGCTGAATTTGGTCCCAGGAATTCCAAAGTCTGATCATCTGGCTCCCCAGGCAGCTTCAATTAATCACCCGAGATGTTTGAAAGTATTTCAGTTATTTATCGACTCTTACAATAACTCTAATAAAAAAATAAAAAACAGCCTTCCCCACTCTTGCCCAGACTGCAGTCCAATAAAGAAACATTCCACTTTATTATGTTGTCAAAGGGCCTCCTCTGGACCGCAGCAACCGTCAGAGCGCCGAGCTGCTCGTTAGCACTGACGGAGAGGAAGTGGCATTGCTTTGAAGCTCAGTAACCTGGCAACATTACATGATTAAGATTCCACGATTCATATTTGCAGTCGTTAATTGCAAGAGTTGGTAAGGCTGTGTGATGAGGGGAAAGGAAACTCGGTTTACAGCGAAGCACACACACCACAGGGTTCTTACATGTGCAAGCACACACACACACACACACACACACACACACACAAAAACACACAAACACCAATGTTTGTATTCAGTCCTCCTCTAATGAATCATGCTATTAAGGTTGTTAAAAACATTATAAGGAATGTATTTCAGTGTGAAAATGCTCAGCATATACTAGAAAAATACTGCCATTAAAGCCATTTTAACAGATTAAAATGGTCACACACTCTGATATGTGCTGGACATTTTACATTATGTCGAACATGTGCTTTTTGCATTTTAGCTGATAGTCGACTTGAAAGCAAAAAAAACCAACAAAAAAACAAGTTAACAACAACTATGCCTGGCTGAATCAAAAATTGGTCTTCATAGATGTCAGATGGTACCAAATGATTAACAAACAGTGTAAATAGTATTGATAATATATTGTTGGTGAAATGTGTACACATAAAAAAAATAAACAAGTGTAGGTGTATCAGTGCCTCTGTACAGGGGATGGAAGTTTGTTAAATGTCAAATTGAGCGATTAAAAAAAAAAGTGTATATTACTATTTTACTTTTCACGGGTACATTGAGGTTGTCACTTAATACTAAAATGTTTATTTGAATATATAAAAAAAAATGAAATGGTGTGGATTTTACTCCTTGTTCATATTACTCTGCATGGCATGATCGGTGGCTTGTTGAAACACTTTCCCAAGGCTGTTTGCGGAATAATCTTCATTTGTAAAAACACTTTTGAATGTCAAAAAAGGAAGCTGTTTTTTATCGCCGTCTCAGTGCATCTGTCACAGTCACGCACACCATGAGCACAAGTCCAATTTAAGTTGAGAGAGCGGGATTTTTTTTTTTCCTGTCGTGTGACAGCTCGGCGGGCTGCCTGTTTTTGTCTTTAGCGCTGATCCGAAAATGCAGTCAGCATGGAATTGTCATTTCTCACAGCCACAGAGTGCAATACACACAGAGATGCAATCTTTCCTCTCTAATCTTGAGTCCTTGCTTTAGACCTCGAGGCACACAAATCTGCCTGAGTTATAACGTTGCCGTCGGACGACGCTGACCGCCCCAGTTAAAATCACCCACAGAAGCACATAGTCAGGTGGTGGATATATACTTCAGACTTGGACAGGAGGAGAGACACGTGAATGGAAAAATAAAACCAGACTGATATAATAATAAGATAACAGGAAGGAAAGGTTGGAGGACTAAAAGATTTCGACAAGAAAACATCTCATCTCATCACAGCTTTCACTTTCTGCGAGGTCGGCACCAAATGCAATATTTTTGTTTTTCTGACGTATGACAATCATATGTTAATATTTATCACTATCTTTGCTGGAGAGGCTTTTATTTTTTGGTTTATATATTTTCAGTTGTTATAGAAGTACCGTGTTTTGCTGCATGCTAACTGAAATACTGCTATACACATTTGATCCATCCTGAAAAGAAAATAGTAAAAAATTAAGTCACAACTCTGTTTTACCAATTTAATTGGATTTATCATATCGTCACACTGTTAAAATAATCGCCTAAGTCATTTTTTGTCAAAATTTTTTGCCTAAATCGTCTCCTCATGACGCCGGCCACCTATGGTAAAATCGCCTACATCCTCAGTTGATCAGATCATGTGATTCTACCCCTTTAAGATAATGGCCTATGTCAAGTGTGTTACACTTTTGGTGAAGTTTTTTGTGTTTCCTGAAAAACTTGAAAAAATGAGTTAAGGCGATTATTTTAACAGGGTGACGATATTGTAACTGACTGAAACTGGTTATTTTATTCGCCATATTTGATTACAATATATAATGTTCACAAGAATGACTCTGCAGTATAAATTCAGGGCAGATGCAGGAAAATAAGGCCTTTTATGGTGTAAAAATGTCCTTTGTATGTCTGCTTTTTGTGTCTGAGATGTTTATTTTGATTAAAGGGAATGTCTGCATGCTGCATGGACCTACAGGGATAAAAAAGCTAGTCGGACCACCATGACATGCTTATGTGTTGCAGTGTCAGACAATCACGTATAATGTATTTAATAGCCCTGCCACAGAACAAAAACTGTCATAAAGGGGAATTAAATGTGATGGTTTTGCCTTATTGTCTGTAAATTAATTTCCTAAAATGAATGAATATTTAGTTTTCTGTGGATTAATGTGTTTAATGTGTTTGCCAGCGGGCTTCTGTTGATAGATTGAGCAAAAGGAAAAAGACAATCATTGGGACCCATTATATCAGAGACCAATGACTCAGCAAGCATTCAGTATTGAGTTTCAGCTCTGCCGTCTCATTTGGGGAATCATTCTGTTATACCCAGAGCCTTACGTTTAATAGAGCTGCTTCATTCGGAGATATCTTGTATTAGAATCTTGATGCCACCAGGAATACAGTCATGAAGCTGCCTCCTAAAACGGAAATTGCAAAGAAATATTAGCTCTAACTCGGTTTACAGACTGTATTTGCCCAAAAGCATGAGTCAACAAAAATAAGGTTGTGATGTGGGTGCTTTGTTGCATCTCCCCGCTTTGCCCCCTGTTACGGGTTCGATGCCAGAAACACAAGCTGTGAATGTCGGCGATAACGCTGTTCGGTCTGAATCTGTTTGCCCTCTTTTTTTTTTTTTCTACCCCCCCCCATCTCCGTTCTCTCACGTTCATCCATTGTCATCACCGCTTTTCATCACGGAGCCAGACGTGCCTTCTTTATGTTATTTTTAGCTTTTCAATTCTCACACTTCTTGTCTGACAGAAGTACGGATGATGAAAGGGGAAACACAAACACAGGATGGGTTTGACATTGATGATGGCAATGCTTAAAAAAAAGAAAACACACTGGAGATGTAAGCATATTTTTGTGAGTGTTTATTGATTTCTTTCATTTATTTTGTTTATCACGGGTCGATTATCATTTTGTATGCTTTTTGGGAAACCTATTGTACATGTTTTACAGATCATTGTCTTGTCAAATAAAATGTAAACCAAAAAGGACAGGAGGTCTTGGTGGTTGTTACCCCTGACAGCTTCCCAGGATAACGAGTTGGAAAAAGCACAGCAGCATGTTGGAGACCTGGTAAGTCCAAAAATCTTGTTAATATCTTCAGGTTAGGGTTATGTTCATGTTAAACAGTGTATCCTCAGATCCTCATAAAGTCTTAAAGGCCCAGTGTGTAAAATAAGGAGGATCTGTTGGCAGAAATGTAATATAATATTCATTTATTATCGTTTTTATCTACACGCTGTGAGTCCTCTTCTGCTCAGGCTGTTGAACTGCCGTGTTTCTACAGTAGCCCAGAACGAACAAACCAAACGCTCACTCTAGATAGGACCTTTCATATTTGTTGAGTTTCACAGCCACCGTAGTTTCTCCTACATGCTTGGAACAGGAGGGTGAGTCAAGGCGGTTGTAATCTGCAACTACACAACTAGATGCCACTAAATCCACCACAGTGGTCATATGTTACAGTGTGTAACATTTAAGATGATCTACTATTCATAGGAATAATTTCATTAGCGTATAATCACCTGATGATAAGAATCCTTGTGTTTTCGTTACCTTAGAATGAGCTATTTTTATCTACAGAGGGAGCGGGTTCTCTTCTGCGGAGTCGGCCATGTTGAACCACAACAAACCAAGTCACAGGCTTTTGTTGCTTTAGAATGAGCCATTGATATCTACAATGTCACGGGTCACCTTCCGTAGAGACCGCCATGTTTCTACAGTAGCCAACGGACAATCCAAACACTGGCTCTAGATCAGGATGATGTTACTCCTTCACACTTAAAAGGGGGATGTGTGAGTAAGTGAGTGAGCTGCAATCTGCATCTACACTGCTAGATGCCACTAATTCCTGCACAATGAGCCTTTAAATGGTGGATTTTTATAACTTCTTGTTGCTGTCTTCACCCACAAATATTTGCATAAAGAAGTCAGAAATGCAAACAAACATAGGTGACCAGTTATACAGTCCAGTTGCTAAACAATAATCGACACCCTTCTAGCCAATCAGTATCCAGAATTGTCTGTGGCCACGTTATAACAAGAAATAGTCCTGAAGTACATGTGGTGAGAAGCTACATAAAGATTACTAACTTTTCTAAAATATTCAACAGGAACCAGAATGTGTCAAGTTTTCACCCACACAGAGACACTGTTTCAGTCTGTAAGGCTCACTGCATTCATTGGGTTGTTTTGGGAAGTTATTTGTATTACTTTCTCTTAGTATGTTTAATCTATTTGTGCTTACAATATCAGCAACATTGTCAAAACATTAACTTTATAATAAAGTACTTTTACCTGAGGAAACTATACTCTTCAATGTTTCTTCATAAAAGCACCTCCACTCAACACTTAGCATGGTCTAATGGGGCGTTCTTTTTGTCCACCGAACTCGATCTGCAAGTCGGTTTCTTTGGTTACGAACCGGAAGTTGCAAACAGAACGTCCCTGAGGTCGTATATACGACTCGTCAAGTCGTCTGAACTCAGAGGACCCCTAGTTCAGACGCTCCATGTCGCTTTGACAACAATGCCGAGTCTTAAGCAGAAAGCAGAGCAGTACCCTAACATTAACGTTAATCAAAATGGGATATTCAGATATCAAACTGTGAAATATGATTGTGTAATATGTAATGAACATGTGAAATCCGCGGTGGGTGCACCGTAAACGAGATAATCACTATACTATAGCGACTTTCCTGGAGGCGTCCATCTTTTCTTCGACTCGTTGTGTTGTGTGCCAAACAGAACGCAAAAACCCGCGGTTATTCGTTTTCCAACACAGATGTGACGTAACTCTCGAGCTGCAAGTCGCGATTACAAGACAAGACGAACGCCCCATTGGATCAGGGTCTGCTGTGCTCTCTGCGTAACAGAAGTATCAGACAGAAAAAAACAGCTAAAAAAAGATCTGGTGTTTACCATAAAATCCTTAAACCTACACTACTGTACAAGGTTCCTCACACATTCAAATAACACTTGGATGTCAAAGCTTGAACTAAACCTTAACCTGAAGTTACATCTATAAAATTAAAGTGTTTTCACTGCTTCTGCAGTTCTGAATGTTTAACAGAAGCTACATGTTTAAATTTAGAAGACCTCAATACGCAGAAGTTCACTGTGATGTTGTTAAAAACCTTCTGGTACAGTGAATAGGTTCAGCCGTTGTTGGTAAGTTCAGTTTGCTCTGAAGTGCTCACTCTCTGATAATGTTTGTATTTCACTTTCATGTTCAGAATTATCAGTGAGTGGAGTGGCTTTGAGGCCACTGAGTTCTCTGCAGCAGCATCAAAATAAAGATTACTTTGACATTTTGAGGTTTATGTGGAGTCTATGGGATGATCCTCTGTTTTGTAACTCTGTGATAAGATTAGTTTTTTTTACAAGAAAAATGTTGCCTGGTAGTGCAGTAAGTGCTTATGTATTTGAATAAATTAAATTATGAACTAACAACACAGGATAAAAGATGAATTATCTGTTATACTGTAAAACTTTATGTCTTATGATTGTAGATTTCTGTTCTGTGGAAGCAGGTGTGTACTTTATTTTAAGTCTACAGTATGCTTCTGCTCTTTAGCTGAGCCCTGTCAGATGAGATGAGATGAGATGAGACACACTCTTTGTCAGCGAGCATTTGTTCACTTTTGTCGCTAATTAAGCGTATCACGAAGTTCATCCTGGTCCCTGCTGGGCTCTGCTTTTGACAAAGATATTAAGTGAGTGAAAGGAGGGTCTGGCATCAGGAGTGGTTTGACTCAAATCAGAATGAGGCACACACTGTCATGTGATGGACGATCATATTAAATGCTGAACAGTGTGAATGATGAAACCACGGGGCCACAGCTACTGTAGAGAGGCTGATTTACGTTCTCCATCCAGTGACATCAGGTATCCGTCAAATCTCAGGTGTTTCAGGTTTGATTTTGACAAACCTTTGAGGCATGATGCACAATTTGTCGTAGTCTTAACAAATTAGCCTGACTGTTCTGTTGGAGAATCGAGTTTAAAGGACCAGTGTGTAGGATTTAGAGGCATCTAGCAGTGAAGTTGCACATTGCAACTAACTGAACACTGCTCGCATCTGTATCTGACAACCTGGGAATGAGAAGCGGCTGTGAAAATTGTAGGAAACAGCGGGTGCAAAACCTGTAAAAAAAAAGCCCTAAAGATACAGATAAAGCTGCCACTACAAACCAAACACTGGCTCCAGATAGGGTCTTTTGTGCAGGTTTTGTGACCACCGTAGTTTTTCCTTCAAGCTTAATTGAGTCATGGGGTTTCAGTTTGTTGCAATCTGCATTCTCACTGCTAGATGCCAATGCTAAATTACACACTGGTCCTTTAAGGTCTATTTTAAACTGTGTTGCCTCGAGTATCATTTTTGACATATAAATGTTTTGCAGTCTGAAAATAAATACAGCAAATTAGATTTGTTGTACTTTAAGGGCAATGTAATTTTAATCTATAATTTTGATTCAACTTCACTTTTCTGTGGATTTACTTGCATTAAAAGCACTCTTCAACCAACGTCGCTAACCACCAGGAGCCTGCAATTACTCACACTAATGAATCCACTTAGTACTCCAAATCCCAAAGCCATGAGCGAGGAGCAAATTTAAGAAAAAGGTGGAGGAAGAGGAACGATAGCTGAGATGAAGAGAGAGCAAAAGGGAATGTTATTGAGAGTAGGGACGTGAGAAAGGGAAAGAAAAGAAATTGGAAGATAGAGGGATTAGTGTAAGCAGGTAGCGAGGTAGACTCAGAGAGATTAAGAGAGTGAGATAGAGAGAGAGTGGGCTGCTGAATCAATGAGCTAGTCGATAGTGAGTGGGAGAGATGTGATGAGAGAGAAAAATGGCATGGAGGAGGAGGAGGAGGAATACGCCCCCTGTTGTGTTGGAGCCCTGCCGAGAAAAATGGCCCCAGAGAAAATGAGACTCCACGACACTCCACAAGTGATAGAAAAAGCCTGTTTTATTTTGGCTTATTATCTGGAACAGGTACAGATTCAAGATAATTTGGTGGCAGTTATTTCTCCCAGGAATTCATCAGAAAAATAATAGAAGTATCATGTTTTATTTAAGAAATGACGAAGCTGTACCTACAATAAATCCTTAATCTCAGTAGGAGATTAATTATTGTGGTCGGGATAAGATAGACAGACTGTTAGACAGATAGAATTGATGGATGTACAAAATATAATGAGAGCTGTAAAGTGGAATGCCTGAGGTTATAACAGTTGACTGATAACTGATAATTACAGAGAAAAGAACCTCAATATCAAGAGAATAAAAGTGTGAAACTGATTTCAAAAGGCACTTCCAGTCTGTAGGTGAAAATAACTAACAGCTGAACATGCTTCCTCCCTGAGAGACTTTTTATTCACTATAGAGCACGCACTCAACCCCAGTTGCAATACTTACAATTTCAAAAGTAATTTAGGAAATGTGTCGTGAATCTGTCTAAGCTCAATATCCAAGATTAACAAAATGATCCAACTTTCTAAAGATCTGGTAAAGACAAAATCTCTTACAAAATATGAATGTAAAATACAGTGTAAATGTTGCTACTGTTGGAAAGGTTCTATAAAACAAATCCATAATGCCTAAATGCACCTGTTAAGGTGTCCTCAACATGCAAAGCCATCTTCCTCAGTGTAGAGATTGAGTTTTGAGTCTCCTATAACTTCTCAGGAAAATGTTGGCATCAAAGGTACAAATCCTTATACATACTACTTATAGTGGGCTCTATTAGTGCAACGTTGTCACTACAGTTGTATGAATTGTCAGAAAACTGGAATTAACAACAAGCATTTGTTTGTCTGCGTGTCTGCAGTATGAAATTTTAACTTCTGTTTGAATGTGGGAAAATGTTCAGTCTGTAATAATCAGATCAGATTCAAAGTTCAAGTTCGACTGGGTTGAAACACAACAAGCAGTAGTCAAGTATGTATGCATCACAGGTTCTGCCAGGGTTATTCTTGTGAGATC